TTCTCTTTTAATTTCATAATGAAGCTATTTGTTCTTCTCTCAGTTCGCTTCTTAACGACTTGTATTCATATCATAAATCTAAGAAGAAGAAAAGAGAATAGTAGATGATAAAAGAAAAGGATGTGATGACGTAGGAAGCAAGTAGCTGGTATTTATAGTGATATTTGATTGTCCTTTCACATACCAAAATTTTTTAATGGTGCACATTGAATCATGATAGATAAATTTATTTTAATTTCAAAATTCAAAGAATCACAAAATTTGAATAGTTTCATATATTATTGTTTTATGATAGATAAATTTCACAAAATTCGAAGTTTTCCATACATTATTGTTTTCTACTCTAATTTGATTCAACCTAATTAATTATAATTATAATGTCATAACTAAAAAATTAAAGTGTAGTTGTTGGACTTCATATTCTATTTTTATGTAATTAATTATTAGTACTTAAAAAATAATTAATTTATTTTAATTAAGTGGAGTCAAAATGGTAATTCAACTTTTAAAGTTAGAGCTTCTCACTTATAATAATATATGATAATTAATTATTATTTATAATAATATGATAATGATAATTAAAAAGTTGAAGGACATTTTCTTAATCCAACTTTAGACAAAGCATATACCCACTTATAATATAAAATATAATAACAATTATATAATATGATAATAAAAAATAAAATAATAATAATAATATAATATATGAATGGTATATGATATGATGATGGATAAATTATTTTTATTTTTCATAACTTTTAAAATTCTTCCGTTATGAGAGTTATGATTAAGATTAAAAATAATATCAATGTACTCATTTATCAAGAAAATAATAATTTAATTATTAAAGGGCTAAAGAACTTAAATTCTGTCATTATGTAATTAAAATATTTGTATTAATTAAATGATTAATCCAATTTTAATTTAGTAAAAAGGCAAAATTGTAATACAACTTTTTACTTTGGAGCTTCCCACTTATAATAATATATGATAATAAAGTATCACAAAATATTTATGAAATATATATAATAATTATTTGCATATTTTGGTATAATTGCATACAAAATAAAAGAAGTATAATTGTGAAAGAAGAGAAACCGTAAAGAGAGAGGTTTTGAGATTGTCTCAAGGTGCTTCTTTTGCAAGGAAAAGGAGGAAACAAATAGCCATTTGTTCCTCCATTGTAGAGTGACTTCTAAGGTGTGGCATATGTTTCTTAATCTCATCCAAAAACCATTGGTGATGCCTGAGCATACGGCAGATCTTCTAACCTGCTGGATGAGAAGAGGTGGTAGTAAAAAACAGAAAAAATGGTGGAGCTAGTCCCTTCTTGCATATGGTGGTCAGTCTGGAAGGAAAGAAACAATAGATGTTTTGAGAATATCACTAATCCAATGCAGAAAGTAAAAGAAAACTGCATTAATACTTTATATCTTTGGTGTAAAGAGCAGGGTATAGATGAGGTAGAACAACTTATAGAATTCTTAGGCTCTCTGTAATTATGATTACTTGCACTGTAAATTTTTTGATGGTTAACAGCATACCCACATTGCTGAGGAATATAACTTTACCTTGCTCAAAAAAAATTGTGAAAGAAGAGAGGGAATATAATAAACATTAAAAGTATAATTTATTTTATATTTAAAAGGATCTAGAGAAAACCCTTCGTCTCTGGTTTTCTTTTTCAAGAAAAAACTGAAGAAACTACTTTTTCAAGAAAGATGAAAAAGCTCTGTACTTCCTGTAATTTTTCAAGAAAAAACTCCTCTTTCTTCTCCGTACTTTTTTAAGTTTCATGTACTTTTTCAATCTTCATCCTCTTTAACTTTTTCAAGCTTCATCTTAAAAAGTACTCCGCCTCCCATCGAAAGACGTCGACGGGAACTAATTTCTTTTTTCCCAAATCTTTTCTCGCCTCTGGTCAAAGTGTACGGATCAGATTAATCGAATCCAACACGCACCCGCGCTCGCGTCGAGACGGGTTCATCGGCAAAAATGAAGAGTCCCCGCATCATAGGCTTGCACAAACAACTGACCTTTAATGTTATGTGTGAACCCATTTAATCCACAAGAAAATAATGCAGAAGCGAAATTATAAATATCAAAATAGAAATTGAAAAATATGTGAAATTAAAGAATGAAAATTTTCAATTTCAAGATAAAGTGCTAAGAAACCTAATTAATCTTAGTATTTAAAGTTAGCGGATTAAGACTAATTATGATACTAATAGAGTCAATTCAAGAACTTAGATCAAAAGTGATCTAGACCCTTATTATGAAGAAATCAGAGACAAGAATTAATATAAGACTAATCACCTTCTTTAATTTACGAATAGAAACCAAAGTTATGGAATTAAGAATTAATCTTACCTCTCAAAGAATCGTTCTTATAAGGTTGTAAGATAAATCCATATATACCACACAGAAAGTGTAAAGAAGAGAAACCTCTCAAAATAATATTAATCATGTCTATTCAAAATAAAGTCTACCCCTATATATATGGAAAACTAGGGGTGTGCATCGATTGGTTCGGTTTTATGTATTATCAGTTCGGTTATCGGTTTTTTGTTTTAAATATGCTGACCCAATAATAAATCAATAAGATATTCTTTATCAGTTTTTGGTTTATCGGTTTTCTATCATTATTGATTCGGTTTCCGATTTACCCAATAAGAAAATGTTCGTAAAATATTATATGGCTTCTCACTTTTCTAAATGTTTTGATATAGTGAAACAAGAAAGATAATGAGAAATTGCATACGAAGACTATAATTACTTGTTACCACCAAAACATAGTATGAATTTTTTTATGTTAATTGAATTGCGGACCTTTACAAACTTGCAAATGCTACAACCTACAATTACAATCTAAAACAAAAACAAAATAGTCCACTAAAATCAAATAACTATAATTGTGAACCCTTTACTTTAATCTTTAGGTTTTCAGTAAACAGTAAAAATTAGAATAGTGGCCTAGTGTGAAGTTGGTAGAGTACTAATAATTTGATATTGTTATAATGTCTAATTATATGTTAAATTATTAATATTTAATAATTTGGAGGGTAAAATAATAAATTATTATCGTCTTATTGGGTTATCAATTTATTCAATAACCCAATAATAAATACCCATATCAAACTAATAACCTTATAATTTTTTTAAAAAAAATTCAGTAACCCAATAATATTTTTTCGGTTCAATTATCGGTCGGTTCGGGTTTTGCACACCCCTAGGGAAAACCTATTCTAAATAGAATAGGATTTAAATCCTACTTTTAAGTAAACTTTAAACTAGGAAAACATGAAAACTTTTTAAACTAGAAAATTTAGACATGAGAAGTTTTTAAACTAGGAAAACTTTAAAATAAAGAAGTTTTTAAACTAGGAAACTTTGACTTTATCACTCTTTTATTGGGCTTTGTGTGGCCCAATCTTCTTTCTTTTGGGCTTGAATTTGGACACCTCTTTCGTGATAAACATATTCTTGATTTTGTATTGTAGCCCGTCGACTTTAATACAAGTAGGCTGACATGGATTCTATCATGTTCTCTATCCCAACATACTTTGAAGGCTGCTTTGTTCCAAAATTTCAATTTCATCAACCCCAGCCTCCTATAGACTTGGGAATACAAACTATCAATGCTTTCTTGGTTACAGTATTAGTACCTGACCAGAGATAGCTTCAATTGTTTGAATTACTTTAGAGGGTAATACAAACATATTTGCCCAGTAAGTTTGTATGCCGAATAACGCAGTTTGGAAAAGTTGTGCTCTCCCCGCATAAGATAGTCTTTTTGGCAATTCAAGAAGTAATCCTAGCCACCATTTTGTTAATCAGAGGTTGCCATTGGATCAATGAGATCTAGACAAAGGAATTCCAATTTAAAGAGGGCAACTCTCCCTTTGTGTGTCCCAGGTGTGGTAAGATAAGAGCCTGAATTTTCTGAGGGACACCACCAATATAAATGACACTCTTTGTACTATTTGCTTGTAGTCTTAAAGTTTCTGAGAGATCTTGAAAGCATATGTGTAGTTGCTTGACAGACTCCAAATCGTCTCGAGGATAGTAATAGGTCATCCATCTGCAAATGAAAAATGGGTGATTCCCTGTTTGGACTATTTAGGATGGAACTTAAATAATTTCTGCTGCTTTACTTGGTTGATGATTGAACCTTCTACTCAGGTATCCATGGACAAAGTAAAAAGAAAAAGGGGACGTAGGATCTCCTTGTCTTATTAGTTCATTTGTTGCATTGAAAGGCTCCGAACGGCAGGATCCCCATTATCATGATGTAATAGTTAACCATCTTCACACATTCCATTACCCATCCAATGAATCTCCACCAGTCCACAGAGTCATAGCCTTTTATAAGTCAATTTCATCATCCCTCTTTGTTTACATTATCTAATACTATCTCTGTATATTAGCTCACTCTCGTTGTATTGTGTCCCTTTGTCCCGACCATTGTAGCACGTGCATTGCCCTTAATTCCTATCTTTCATTTGAAAAGAGGTAGTTTAGACGCGAACTTCTGTTGCAGTCTAATGGCCTGTATGGCTTTATTTACTTCACTTAACGTCATTTAGGATGACTAAAGGAATTTTCTTCTGGCCATGATTGTTGTCTTGAAAGAGCATTACGAGCATTGAAGGGAAGCCAAATGAACACTTGCCATTTAAAACTTCAGTATTTTCAGTTAAGTAACTTACCAAATATCAAATAGTCTAATTCTTAGACAATCCAAGAATTGACTTTCCTGCAGTAATTTCATTATACCAATTACTTCCGCATAGTTGTTTGGTGATAAACGACCTGTTTGACTACTTTCTACTTGCTTTGATAGATACACACCAATGTTAAATATGTAAACAACGATTCGCCACTAATTGTAGTTAACGTTTAAGACTGGATTTTCAGCTATTAGTCTTCGTGATATCCATGACACTTGAGTCCTATCAGACATTATTTTCTTTGCTGATTGAGCGTCTTTGTGTGAACAGGTGATGAAATTTGATGGTACTGAGGCTGATGTTGAGCTGATCCTACACCGAGACCGGGCTTCATAACATGTTGACGAATTAAGGCCCCTGAACTGAGGATTCGATTAGTAGAAAGGACGACTTTGTCTCCTGCAATATCATGCAAGAAAGCTCTATCTTGGATGATTTTAGCCCACCCTCTATATGGGACAATAAAAGTACCTATTATCATAAACAGGATAGAAAATAATCCTCATGGAATATCTCAGGATCATTATCCTTTTTTTACCCCTGATTTTTTTTCCAGAAACTAATCTGTTGTTTGTACATCAGGCTGCTGGCAAGTGATAAGTATCACAAATTTTAGGGCCCGTTTGGCTATGCGATATGGTATCATAATATTGTACTATGATATGAAATCATGAGACGAGACACGTGATATGAAATTTTGGTGTTGTTTATTTTCTTATAAACATAAAATTTCCATAAGTTATAAAACTATTAAAATATCCCCAATTGTTTATTTAATATTATCAAATCAATAAATAATCATAAAATCGTATAATAAATTATGACAGTTATTTGTTGTCCACTTAAGTAATTGTTTCATCAATATATTTGAGTAAAAATGAAACACCTTTCACAGGCTCTTCAAGATTTTATTACTCAACAATCATGAAGTGTGAGTTAAAGTGATTATATATGTTAGTGAGAATAATAAATTTTATGTCGGTGAGAATAATAAATTTAAAACAGTAATGATGTGATCATAAATTTTATTTACATGTGAAATAAATGGTTAGTAGTTATAAATGTGGAGTTGTTTTAACAAAATATAAACTCGTTGATCAATTTTTGTATTTAAAACATCTCAAATTATGATATGGTATCACCATGTGATTTCATATAATGATTTTTGGAGAATATGGTATCACATCTCATGATACAGAATAATGAGATGGAATCAGCGTAAAATGACATGTTCAAACGCTGATTTAATTTGTAGTTACTCATTTAGTTGAAAGGTGGCATACATATTATATACTGTTGCCTGGTCATATAAGGCCTAATTTTGCAAAAGGAATTTGTACCTCTATCTGGGAGATTATACAAAAAAGACTTCATATAGTATAGGATAAGATTTGCGTACATACTAGTAGGAGTTTGATTTCTAAATTACCATCAATATATTGTTGTTTTAATGCATGATGTGCATTCCTTTAATCTGTGAGGTAAAAAAAATTATTCTCTGTCAAAAGATTTTCTAATAAAGTTTTGAACTATTTGGAAGTTATTCAATTGGAATTATGAGAGTACAAATTAGTGTCATTTTTTAATTTACAGGTGAAAAAAATATAATTTTAAATAATGTAAAAATCAGACAGAAAAAAGGAACATCATTTCCTCCACCTATGCTAAAAAGGCAAAAAGGAAAAAAAAAAAAAAAAGAGGAAAGTTTACTTTGAAAAAGTTAAAGGGCGTAATTGACGAGAAAAAAGTGATTTAGGAAAGACATAAACATTCACAAAGAAAAAGATTAATTCCTTCTTTTAAGGAATTATTCATTTAAAAAAGGACAAATTCTTTTGAGTTTACTTATATTATTTTACCTTTTTGAATATTTTTATCCTTTAAAGTTTAATACTTTTTTAATAAAAAATATTTAAAATAAAAATATATCATAATTATTTTTAATTCCTGGCCAAATTTTCTTAACATTGCCCTTTTAAAAAATATTGAAGCAAAAAACAAAACTTATTTTAAAACAAAAAAAAAATAGTGTGATTGATAAGAAGACGAATGTCAAAGTATAGTGTCAAGAGAAAGTATCATCTTGGGCTCGTGACATAACCGTCTATAGTTAAACTAGCGTTTTGCCATAAAATTTATATTAGATTTTGGAAATTACTTTCTGTATATGTTTCACCATGAAATTTGATTAAAATTTTAAATTTTAATCTTCAAATAGTTTCAAGCCCCGATTATTGAGACTACCATTCTAAAACTTTCAAAAATATAATAATCAAGTAAAATGTGTGTTCAAACGCAAATGTCTTTTACAATAACTAATGTTTTATATATAGCTTTGTGATTAGGGTTTGTAATACATAGGAGAACAAATGGAGGTGGAATTAGGTAGTGTTGTATCAATTGCCCAAGGACAAAGAGGGAGACACCAAACACATCAATTGTCAAACTAATTCCCTATATTGCATGCAATTTTTGAATTAATTATGTCATAATGTTTGGATTTTGATGGTTCTTGCAAAGATTTCTTATCATTTGGTTTTATATATGTTGTCTCTTGAATGCAATGATTTTAGTTTGTTGTTCTTCCTTGTATTTGATTTGATTTTCTATCATAATTATGGTTTGACAAGAGAGTTCAATATTGTATTTTCTGTGTGTATATGTCTATTTTTTCTGTCTATAATCGCGTGATATTATTTAGCTTGACACAATATTTTTTAAAGGCTAAATACATAATAAATTTTTACATTCGTTGGGTTTTTTCTCTCAGGTATTTTAACTATGCTATTTTCCTATTGAAATATTAAATCACTCATAATTTTGTTTCTTTTAAACACCGTTGACTGGTGTTGAACCAAATTTTGTGAGGCCGGGGTATTGATAGGTTGTTTCAGAACTCATTAGTCCAATCGATAGTAAAATTGTTCGAGAATAACTGTATTCTACTTCAAGTTATTTGAACAAATTAGAAAACAAATAAGACTAACACACAATTTGTCTTTATTCCTTCAATCAAAATCATTACAATACGAACACAATTGCATGTATTTACAATAGAAAAGCCGATCAAAATCAACCAATCGTGTCTAAAAAGAACAAATTATTGGTGATTCAATGATTTAGTAGGAAAATAATGTTATTAAGGTACCTAAAGGGAAAAACTAATAATTTTAGAGATTTATTTATGAGTTTAGCCTTTTTAAAAAAATAAAGACTTCTGAAGTTTCTAATCTGAAATAAATCATAGACATTCATTGTTTCTCATTATAAAAAAAAAGTATATTATTTTAGAGACAGATTAAAAAAATATAATCAGATGAAAAGGAATATATCGTAGAGACAATGAAAGAACAACTCGAGACCTCAAGATCATAAGGTATACAACTAGTAACAAAAAATTGTTTGAGGCATGCAGTAAAACTTGTAACACAATTTTTATCCTTTAATTCATATTTTCCCCATTGAGGATTACATAGAAAAATAAAATTATAAAATAAAAAAAAGGGAGGTCAAAAAGTCATAATTAATCTCTCATTACTTTGTGGAAGATTTTATAAACTGATCATGATTAGTAATTATGGCTAATTTATATAAGATGACTCATGCGCCATTCCACCAATTACTTTGTAGTAAGTTTGATGGATAATTTATACAATTGTTATGAACTATTTAAAAAATAACTCCATATAAATATATGATTTGTTATTTCCTAAAAATAAGTTAAAGAGAACTTATATCATTAAACCAAACTTATTATATGGGAAAATTGTATATAGTAGTAAACTAATAACCTAAAAAAAATAGAGTAGCTAGGATTTGATTTAATTGTACTCCATAGCAAACGTTTGCAAAAAATTGTCAGGCGCCTCTCTCCCTAATATCTCGCTCGCCACTCTCCTCCAATCTCTCGCTCGCTTCCTCACTTTTTATACAAACATAAGTGTATAAAAATTGTTTCTAATTATATAAAGTAGAGAAAATTGTATAAATACATTTAGTTTTGTTCCCCTCTCTCCTCTCTTCCAGATCTCGTTCACCACTCTCCTAAATCTCGCTCGTCACCCTCGCCTTTCTCACTTATACAAACAGAAACGAAATGTATAAATTGCGTTTTTGTTTGTATAAAGCGTGAGAAAATTGTATATACACATGCAAGTACATATATTTTCGTCCTATACACTTATAATTATACAATAAAAATACTCCCCTGTCCAGTTTCTTTTGCCTTTCTCTCTTTCTCGTTTTATACAATTTTCAAGTTGTATCTAATTTCTCTCTTTCTCGTTTTATACAATTCGATTCAATTGTATATTCCTTGTCAAGTGTCTTTTGTCTTTCTCTCTTTCTCATTTTATACAAATTCAAATTGTATATAATCGTTCTATACACTTATAATAATACAATTCGTTTTATACACTTCGTTTTTATACAGTTCTCTACCCAAGTGTCTTTCTCTTTCTTGTTTTATACACTTCGTTTTATACAATTTGCTTCAACTGTATATGTATAACGAATTATACAGTTTCTATGTTTGCTATGGAGCGCAATTAAGCAAACTTTGCTATAACATACAAATATGAATTTTTTATTTGCTATACGTGAAAGTTGTCCTTTTTATATTCATTTTCAACAAAATCATGAAGTTTTATTTAATTATATAAACTCCCCGAATAATTGAATGATCCTTTTATTTTTTATTTTTAAAAAACTATTTTTTTTGATCGAATAAAATATCCTTACATGTCTGACAATATAATTTTTATTTTAAGAATATGTTAAGTTTAATGTATAAATATATATTATAACATTTTTCAAATGTAAATATAAACCAAGTCCTAAATCACTAAAATATAATAAGTAGATACTCTATTAAATAATATAACAAAATATATATATAAACACTCGTAAAAGTTTTAGATCAAATAATACACCTATAAAGTCTTTACGTTATTGGCTTCATAGTGAAAGAATTGAAACGCTTCAAAAAATATAAACTTGTAATAAGATATATTTTGAAGTGATACTTTCTTTAAAAATAAAAAAAATCGAACCTTACTAATATTAATCGTATAATAATTCTTAAAAGATAGTAAAAATTATTTATAACAGTAAAAGTACAATAAAACGTAGTCAAAGAGAATTGTAATAATGTAGGACCAGAATCTGTCATGCTTCTAAAAAAGCATCACTTCCCAATAAAAGGACTTCAATAGTATATTAATTAACTAAATTTTATAAATATTTTTCACGTCCACAATAAAATTAATTAAATAAATAAAAGATTCTTTTCGCGGCTTAAAAATCTCACAATTTACTGAAACTTCATTTCCCGCTCAAACTTTTATTTTTCCTAAAATATTGAAACTTTTAAACAAATTAAAAATTATTCATCTCAAAAGATTGGAGAAAATAAAAAACTCAATTAATATACTCACGTTTTATATTACTTGACCTCATATTTGATTTGACACACTTTTTAAAAAAATATTTAATTAAAAATGTGTTTTACTTCTAAATTAATAAAACTTTTTTAATTCGCTAAAATAGACAAAATAAAATGAAATAGAATAATAAAAAAAAATATTTAGTGATCAAAAACATTTCACGAAAAATTGAATCTTATCGATGTTTAAATTTTGGATAAGAGGGGAGAGTTTTCACATCTTCTAGCATTTTTAAGAAATATTATCTCATTAAAAAAAACTGAATTAACTATGATATT